AATGATAAGTAGCCCATAGCAGATACTTTCCAAGAGGGATATCCTTGCCTACTGCCAGGTGCTCTGCCATGAGCTTATGATTGTAAGTCAGACCACAAGATGACCCACAGAAGATGAATCTCTCCAACCACATATTTAGGAAGGCCACGCATGCTCTCTCACTAATAGTTGATTCGTCTCCAATATGGTTCAGAATATAACTTGCCCATCCTGAGCAGTCTGATATTTTGGCTAATTTCTTGGAACCAGCACTCAAATATCCGTGAGGCTGCATTGGTCCAGTTATTCTAAGGCCGGTCAACATATAAACATCGGCCAAGGTAATAGTCATCGGGCCATGACCAAACACGAAAGCATTCAGGGCATTGGACCAGAAATAAGATGCGGAATCAAAAGTGAATCTTTTCTCTCCATCCTAGACAACAAGAGTGTCAAACATTGATTCAAATCATACACCTCCCAATCTCCGGCCTTTTTCTCGGATACCCTACGAAACCAATCTCTCCACCCCTTGGGTATTTTAGGCCAGTTTCTGAAGGAAGTTTTGATATTCCAGGAGGACAAATCCACTACAAACCGTTTGAAGGGGATTTGGTTGGTTTCTTGACGGATGAAATCAAATGGATCAGGATCACCCATAGGCCCAAGAAAATAAACATTGGAAGTAACAGCTAATGGAATCAGAATTTCGTTCCTCATTTCCTAGAAATCGGATAAAATAAACTTGATGACAAAGAAAATACAGGGTAGCGACCGACATTTTGAATGGGAACTTGAAAGCATACCTCGGGGACGTGGTCGCTGGTCGTCATTACCGCCGGGACAGATGTGAAACTAAGGAAGACCGCTTGAATAAAACTTGACAGGGTGGAAGATTTGCTAGGGTTGAAGCTTTGGCGATGGCGGTGTCAGCTGTTGAGATTTGCTCGAGAAAGGAGGGGAAAGCAAACAGGCCGAGTGAGTTGGAAAAGATACTATTGGGACATTATATAAGACTCGGCCCGGGAAGTCAGGAGTCGCGCGTATATCTCGAGAGCAAAACAGTTGCGGCGTGGTAAACAGATAAATAGGAATTTTAGAATAAAATCATTTCATCCTAAAATTGGGGGGCATGTGTTTACACCAAAATTTGGAGATAAAAAATGCGGGAACTCGAAGCTTTCAAAATTATGTCAATCAAGGACTCGATTGCATGAAGATTGATATCAGCTGATTCAGAGGAAACAATGGAATCGGATCTCTTTAGATGACGTCAGCAGATAACGATGATGAGTTACGGTTGGTGCCAGAGAACTACATATCGGACTCTACAAAAAGGGAAAGATTAGGGTCCAAGTTATCTTAAATTAGGAATGTTTTCTTCTATGCCGACGATTGTAATGAGTCATGCTCGAGTAGGATTCATGTTTAGCCTCCAGATATAAATATTGGACCCCGGCTATTGTAATACACACAATCAATCAAATACAAGTTACTTACTTTTTTTAGCTCTGGCCACCCCTTAGGAGTAGAAGTAGAGTAGATCTCGACGAGTTCTTCAGCGAGCAGGGCTGCATCGATCTGGTCGACCTTCGGCTTGTCTGTAAGTACCGTCATGGCTTATACTTCTGTTCGTACGACTGCATCGATCTGGTCGACCTCCACTGCAACTCTGGTATAAGCTAGTTATCAATTTTTGTTTAGTTTAAGTACGGCTGCATAGATCCGGTCGACCTCCACTGCTCGAACTAGATTAAGGTTAAGTTATCGGCTCTATCTAAGGGTGACATCCTTCGGATAGATTCATTAAGTTACCAATATTGTTGATTGCTTTCATATTTTATTCAATTACAGCAATATCGCTTCGCCCGATTGGGATTGATCTAGATCGGCCCTATATCCTGTTTAACCCATCGTTTATTAATCTAAACTAATCTAATCTGCACCTTAAATGATGAGTTATATTTTATCAGCTGTTTTATGTCAATCTTGATCGTGCATAGTGTGCGGTTAAGGCATATCTAGTCTTGAGTAGATCTATTGGCTAACGAAAACCGTTCCATGGCCCGTTATCACGGCCTATGTGATTCTACCTCACACCCCACTGTTAGCACAATGGAGTGGGGGTCGTTATTTGGTAGGTCTGTGCGCTATGTCTGAATTGGCTGTTTTAGCCGATATCGAGTGTTTTCACATACAGTTCACGTCACGAGACCGTTGAAGTAAAGATAGGTTGAAAGATGTGTTAGTCCCATGATCTTATTATTGTATTACGGCATACATGATTCTACCTCATGCCCCACTGATATTAGTAATAAGTTAGGGTCGTTGAATTTATTGCTGTTTCTACGACCTACATGATTCTGCCTCATGCCTCACTAGTCATAGCGATAGATGAGATCTAATATGTTCATAGATTTGTCTCTATTAAATGGTTAAATGATGATGGACTGAATTTTCATAAAAAAGAGATTCGGTTACTTGCAGTCATTGGCTTAGCATAAACAGATTAGTGTTGACATCCTATTGCCATTGACTAATATTTGTCTAAACAACGATATTTATCCTGAATGATAACCAATTTTTCTTCCATAAGTCCATGAGCTTTAACTGATTTATTCTTATGAGTATGTTGGAATCGACTATTTAGTCGATCTCCTTTCACATCGGCTCTCAGGGCCACACATTCGGGACTGTCTGAGCAACATCAGCATGTTCTGCCTTAAATTAATGATTAGCTTTCTCTTCTTGTCAATTGCAGGGTCAAATTGACTGGCACGTCTCGGGAGGAGTGCATAGGATCAATAATCCCTGCGTTGAAGTCAGGCGGATCTCTGACTCCATTGAGTAGGCCCTTCCAGCTTGCTCGTGTGCCCCGACATGGGACGAATTTTTTGTGCCAATAGTTGGATACTTTTCTCACGCTGGATGCTTTGTTGTGGGGCCACGAATCTATGTGCTCTCCCTTTTGGCCAATAAGAGAATAGAACCTCAAGATCCAAAGGTAGAGATTGACTCTGGAAGTGTTGGCAGGATCATGGGAGGTTTGAGAGGGGGCAGTGGGCCCATATAGAGGTTGGGCGTCCTGCATATGGAGCCTCCAGCCACCTAAAGTTCATGCTTTGTGTACCTACAAGTAAATAATGACATATATATGTGGGACCAAGGTATTTGTAGCTAAGTCACTATATTCTTACTTGTTAGCTTATAGAAATAGTATTTTGTTGACGGTTTTGGTGATGTAAAAACATGGTGAAATTACCATCAACACCCCACTACACTATTTTATACTAGTTTATGGTAAATATTATGATCTCCTGTTTATTATCATTTCTAGCAACCGCTTTTCCTTATGATAAAATAAATAACGATACCTTGAAATACTCTCGGATGAAGTGCTGCAACGGTATATTCCGTGCGCTTGCGAAATACTTTACTTGAGCATAAGTTATACCAACACACACCCGGTTTAACACATAAGAATATCATCAATTTAGACATTCATTAATCATACATTCCAAGCACAAAGACGTCTAATGATCAAAATTTATACATCACATACACATACTTGACATGAGTGTATCAACATATGATAATAATAAACAACAAGAACAAGTAAATAATAAAAGTAACATTTGAGTAGGATGACTAGTTGTCTAATGCAGGTACTACGGGTAGGCGGGTATGGGTGGTATATACACACACCCGCACCCGTGTACCTGACATGTAGAGGATTTCATCCAATAATATACCCGTGGGTACATAAAATTGTCCATACTGTCTCTTTGTCGGGTAAAACCCATCAGATATTCAGGTATCGGGTACACATTGCCATCTCTAGGAGTCTAGGTATGATGGCTCAGATTTGTTGTCTCACAGTCATTTGACTAGGGGTGCAAATGGTACGGATATTTACCAACCGTATCTGACGTTTAGTGGAGTTCAATTCAGTCCTTATCGAGTTTGAATATAACATCAGATACAGTATTCATATCCGAATACTCAAATCGTATATTGATGATGTCAATATTCATTCGTATCTTATCAACATAGCTAATACTATTTGTATTTAAATTTGAATCCGAATCAAACAAAAATCTGTCTTATCCAACACAGCTAATACTATATGGTTGTCCGTTTGCACATTTACTCCCTCCGTCTCTAAATATCTGTCGTTTTCGCTTCTCGAAAAATAATTTTGACTAAATATATATAAAAAATATTAATATTTATGATACATAATTAATATCATTAGCTAGATATTTAAATCTAGTTTTTAATAAATTTATTTAGAGATATAAATATTGCATATATATACTTTTTATAAATGGAGTCAAGCTTTCGGTACCAAATTCAATGGCGAATGTTAATTAGGGAGAAAGGGAATACGTTTTTTTTAACTACCAAGCCAGCAAGCAACCAGCCCAAAATAAAGACACCGGACGCGTGGGTCCCTGGCGTCAGAGCCCCCAGCCGCCTCGCCCTCGCCGAGGGAGTACAACCGCAACACGGCGACGACGCGACGACACAGACAAGGAAATCGCATCCTCCTCTTTCCCTCGCTCTGCAATCTCCCCCAAATTCCCCTCTTCCCCTCGCTCGCGTCGCGCGAGCAAGCAACGCGCAGGTACGAATTACTCCCGGGCACTCGCGATTTCCTTGGATTCACCCTCTCGTTGACCCGATCGCGAGCTTTCCCGGTGCGGAACCGTGTATTTTGAGCCCAGATTTCGCGGCCATTCGCCTCTGGTTAACCGGGGTTTGAGGAGATCCGCGATTCGTTGCTGGTGGCCGGGGGTTAGTCGGGCGCGTAGATTCATCGTCCTTGGTTGGTCTAGAAGGGGGGGATTAGGGTTTGTTTTCCTCAGGTTAGGGCCCGGATACTCTTGTTGCCTACCTGCTTGCGAGATTGGATCGGTACTTTCTGGCATATTGTTTGCTTTCCGTTGGTGACTCGTGGGCTTGTAATTTGGCTGCAGGTGCTGAAACCGGTGAGCGGTTGATGGATGATGACTGTTCCCATGGATAGTGCTAGCGTAGCCCCATCCTCCGTGCGGGACCTTGCCGAGCGTCTCCTTACTAGGGTAAAGCCTCTTAGTTCCTTTTTTGTTCCTTTGCATGGTACAGCTAATACTACTGGTCTACACTCTGGGTTTTTGATCCAGTGGTTTCCGCTGTGCCCCTGGGTTTTCCACGGTTTTTTGGATGGCTTGCTCTGCTTGTTAGGTTATTTGTCGGGTACTTGGTACTGTGGATCCTCGAACAGTTCTTGGGATAGTTTTTTTTTCTTTACATAGGTTATAATTGGTTTGTATGATAAATTGCTTAAGAAAGGAGAATACCTGAGCTAATTGTTTCCTTGGATGTAAGTCGAGCTTTGCTTGTATTTGGGTTTCTCCCATAATAGCAAGGAGATGCAATTGATACTCATGTTTATGTGAAGCACAATGATGAAGTTGTGACATTGTAATGTTATTATGCAGAATAATGAACTCGAAGATCAGCTCCGCAAGTCCGCACAATCCAAAGTCCCATCGGATCCCAACATATGGCTTCAGATGCGTGACAACTTTGAGAAGATAATTCTCTTAGATCATGACCTCTCTGAACAGAAAGAGGTAGAATATCTCCTGTGGCAGTTGCACTACAAAAGAATTGAGGACTTCAGGAGGAACATTAGTGCTGCAAGCTCTGTTGCATCTAGTGGGAAGAGCAACGCTAACCCAGATCGAGTCAAGAGAATTAAATCAGCCTTCAAAAGCTTCCTTTCAGAAGCAACTGGCTTCTATCACGACTTGATGTTCAAGATCAAATCAAATTGGGGCCTTCCACTCAGTTACTTTCCAGAGGGCCTTGACAATGCAAACAACTCTGTGCGAGATGACAAGAAAACAGTTCAGTTGAAGAAAGGTTTGATTTCATGCCATCGCTGTCTGATATATTTGGGAGATCTTGCTCGTTACAAGAGCTTGCATGGTGATGGTGATTCTGCTAGTCGTGAATATGCAGCTGCTTCTAGTTACTACAAAGAGGCAGCTTCTATCTACCCTTCCAGTGGCAACCCTCATCATCAGGTATTACCACATTACTATACTTGCTCAGTTGACTATTTATTCTCTACTCAGTCTTTTAATTATTGCTGCTATCATTTTTTCAGCTTGCTATACTAGCTTCTTACTCAGGCAACGAGGTGGTAGCTGTTTATAGGTACTTCCGAAGCTTAGCTGCAGATGCTCCTTTTACCACTGCACGGGACAACTTGATTATTCTTTTTGAAAAGGTATTGTTGCTGTCTTCATTAATTCATGTCCAAAGTATTGTTCTTATCATGCTCTCTCATTTTGGTTTGATACCTTCAGTAGAAGATTGTATTGTTTGATATGACATGAGAATTTTGCTTGATTTCCTTACTTATCTGGCAAACTTTGTATTGTTCGTCTGATGATATCTGAAGACCAGATGGTTGAAAATTTGGTTGGATTTCTTTTTAGCATTTTAATTGTTTCTGCGCATCTAATATGTCTGATAACCCTTGGCATTTAGTCACTTACTTTGTACAACCATATATAATATAGGTGCCCTGTAATGGCACTTAATTTGCAGGTTCCTACATAGCAAATGTTTATTTCCTCCTTTGTTCTTCAGCTTTTACTTTGTATACAGCTGTCATGTCCAGAATACTTTCTTATGTAAATTTATGTTTATATAATGTTAATTTATCTTGAGATGTTTCGTTGTTTAGTACCTCCAGTCATACAGTAGTGTCACTGATTCGATAAGTTAGTAGAATTAAGTGCAAATAGTTTTTGAGGCATCTATATTTGTGTGTTCTCATTTGCAAATGTTAGCATTCAGGTTGATATCGATAGCCTAAGATATCACCTCTTTGTGGCTTATATGGGACTGTAATTGTTCATGATACCCTTACTCAATGAACGTATTAAATCAATAGCTAATGGTAGGATGATTTCCAATCTGTATTCCATATGGTTCTCAATATTTGTTAGTTTTGCTGTCATGTTTGCATCATAGTCTTGAGTAATACACAACACTAACAGAGAACGTAGTTTTTGTATTAAAAAAAGAACTGAAATGATTTCATCATCAAATGAACAATTATTTCCAGATTTGTGCTATTAAGCTTCTCTTAATGATGGTACAACTTCCTATGCAGAATCGCCAAATCTATGGACAGCTGCCAGACAACAACAAAGTTCCCAGTGCTAAAACATTACCCCCACGGTCATCTGGGAGGGGCCGAGGACGGGGAGAAGTAAGGTTTCAGCCAAAAGATGTTAATGCTGAAACAGCTGAAAGGGAACGGGAGTGCAATATTCATGATACATTGAAGGCCTTCTATATACGATTTGTCAGGCTCAATGGAATTCTTTTCACGAGGACCAGGTTCAGCCCAGTCTCTTACATGATCAGAATCAATTCTTCAACCCTCACTGGTCTCAATCTGCCTAATAAATTCTTTCTTCTCCTCTCCCTTTTTAACAGTTTGGAAACATTTGGGGAGCTGTTTTCTTCAGTTAGCAATGATTTGCAGATTCTCCTTTCTTCTGGTCTTGAGGACGAGCTTAATTTCGGTTGTGATGCTGCAGAAAATGCATTAGCTGCTGTTAGGCTTACTGTCATCCTTATATTCACAGTACACAATGTAAAGAAGGAATCTGATAGCCAGTCGTATGCTGAAATTGTGCAACGCAGAGTACTGCTCCAAAGTGCGTTTACGGCTGCTTTTGATTTTGTTGGACGAATTCTCAGAAGGTGTTCAGAGCTCCGTGATATCGCATCAAGCTTCTATCTGCCAGCCATTCTGGTGTACATTGAATGGCTGGCATCCCATCCAGAGTTGGCTGTTGATTCAGAGATGGAGGAAAAGCATGCAAATGCCAGATCATTCTTCTGGAACCAATGTATCTCATTTATGAATAAGCTGATCCTTACCAACCTTGCATCTATGGAGGATGATGATGATGAGGCTTGCTTTTCTAATATGAGCATTTATGAGGAAGGTGAAACTGGCAACAGGCTTGCCCTTTGGGAAGATCTTGAATTAAGAGGTTTTTTGCCCTTAGTTCCTGCACATACCATTTTGGATTTTTCAAGCAAACACAGATTTGGAAGTGTTGGAAGCACCAAGGAGAAGAAAGCACGGGTTCAACGAATTTTTGCCGCAGGGAAGTCACTGCTGAACTTTGTTCAGATCGATCAGTTGAGGATATATTTTGATCCATCTTCCAAGAAATTTGTCATGGCCAAGAACCCTCCTGTTTCTAAAGTTAACATCCCTCTTCATGAGTCTCCTGATGCACTTAAAACAAATGGCGCTGACATGGATCATGAGGCTGCTAGAAGATTTGACTCAGTTTCCTCTAACATGGGCACACTGCAGTCTAATGTGCACTTTGGTCCTGATGGTGACGATGATGAAGAAATTGTTTTCAAGCCTACAGCTTCTGAAAAGTTTCCGAAAGCTCCTTCAGACCTGTTGGTTAATGGATACACCTATCCTGTACCAATGTCTGCTGCTGGCTGGCCAACCAATGCTAGTTTAGTGTCTGTTCAGAGCACTGCATCAATGTCTGCGACTGGTTGGCCACCCAATGGTGGGTCACATTCTTTTCTAGCTGCTGGTAATTGTAACATTAACCAGTCACTTCCCAGGTCTTCTGTTGGTTGGGCTGTCAATGGTGAGCAAAATGTTATTCCTAGCATTGCTCCAAGATTTGAGCTCATGCAGCCTGTTGAGGAGCCTGCTTCCAGCTGGACAAGCAGTGGTGCACAGCATGTTGGTCCTCAGCACACAGGTTTAACTTTCCAAGATGTTATCTCTGAACCACGTGTATCTGCATCAATGGTTCAACGTTTTAGTAGTCCTAACTATTCGAAATTTCTCAGTGAACAAGAAATGCTGTTAATGAATGGACTGAAGACTGTCAACATAACTGGAAATGGCTATCTAGAGCAGAAATTGCAGGCTGGATTGAGTGGTGTACAGTCTATTGGGTATTCGTCTACTGAACCTGCTGGTACCACTAAAAACTCGATGCATAATCATGTGAACATTACTGGAGAGACTGTCCCCTCTACACTTGATTCAGTTGTACCTTCAATTGCACCATCAGGTGGCATGCCAATGAAATTCACAGAAGCACCACTAACTGCTTCAAAGAAGAACCCTGTTAGTCGTCCATCAAAGCCTGTTGGGCCACCTCCAGGATTTAATCATGTAACCCCGAAGCGTCAAGATGATTCTATTCTGGTTGAAAAACTGCAGAGCCCACAAGTCGATGATTACAGCTGGCTAGATGGCTATCAGCCATCGATTGATCATGTTAACAATTTAAGAGCTGTTTATCCTGGTGTCAGTGATACTAGCACAGCATTTTCCACTCCATTCCCCTTCCCTGGGAAACAACAGGTCTCTGGGATACATGCACAAGGGGCCAATGAGAAGACATGGCACGATTTCCACCTTTTTGAGCCCTCAAAACAGAATATGTTCCAAAATTACCACCAAATAAATCAGCAAAGTGGTCAAATAGCTGAACAAGAGCCAGCAAATTCTATCTGGTCTAGCAGTTACCATGTGTGATTCAGTAACTTGTACCAGGATGATTGCTGGTAAAGACACTCCTTCCAGTTGTCAACATTACAAATAATTCTTCTTAGCAAGTGTAAACTATCATTTCATTTTGTGTTCTATTTTCTTGCAGCGAAATTTGGTTCACGTGTATGAAGATGTTATAGTTCTCATTTATACTTTGTTCTATTATTTCATTTATGTAGGAGTTGCTGGGGACTATTGGATTAAGTGGCACAGCCTGACCTATTGAGCTTGGCCCATACCTGCAGCACTCTCATAGTGTTAAATTTCTTTTGAGAATGGTGATCTTTGAAGCATGACAATGGCTGCTGTTATGTTTGGTACGTGGCACAGCCTCCGGTTAGACTTGCACCCTTTCAATTTGTTTTCTCTTTCTTTTTGTTCTTTTGATTTTTGATGTATTCAATGGGAGATGACTTAATAATATCATAAAATTGGTTGAAGTACTTCTGCAGTTTATTTGGTTGATTTCTTCTAGATGCAGCTGTAAAATGGACTAAGATCTTTTTAGGCCACTTTCCTTTAGTGCCAAAAGGAGTAAGCCATCCCATTATATTGCTATTGTCAACAGTTTTTGTGGTATCTTACATGTAGGATTGTTTTAGTTCAGTGCCATTTATGGGTTTGTTAGGGAGCATGGTAATTAGTTATAATTAATAAGTTTATCAATGATATTAATTTATAAATGATTCAGTGCCATTCCTGTTGGGGCGTAACCCTCTTAGCGACGCGCCATGTCGGAACCTGGGTATGGTGTTAAATGAGCAAGGGCCGGGTCGTCACCCTCGTGACGCGCCGTGTTGCGATCTGGACACGGTGTCAAGTGAGTAAGGATCGGGTCGTCGCATCCTTAGTGGCGCGCCACATCGGCGCCCGGGTGGTGCAAAATGAGCAAGGGTCTCTACACCTACCTCGGCGGGTGCGAAAGGTAAGGAAGCTAGACGAGTCAACTAGAATCCGTTTAGGTAGCTGGAATGTAGGGTCCCTTACAATTAAGTTAAGAGAGTTAGTGGACACAACGGTTAGGAGGCGTGTAAATATTTTATGCGTCCAAGAGACTAAATGGAAGGGGCAGAAGGCGAAGGAGGTGGACAATACCGGCTTCAAGCTCTAGTACACAGGGACAACTTCAAATAAAAATGGAGTAGGAGTTTTGTTTGATAAGAGCCTCAAGGATGAGTTTTGTTTGATAAGAGCCTCAAGGATGATGTGGTGGAGGTGAGAAGGCAAGGGGATAGGATCATCTTAGTTAAACTTGTCATTAGTGATATGGTCTTAAACGTAATTAGTGCGTATGGCCCCAAGTAGTTCATGATGAGAGTGCTAAGCAGCTTTTCTGGGAAGACTTAGATCGCTTGGTTAGAGCTGTCCCTAGTAGCGAGAAGATCTTTATAGGAGGTGATCTTAATGGCTATGTAGGTACATCAAGTGCAGGTTTCAAGGCGGTTCATGGAGGTTTCGGATATGGTAGTAGGAACCAGGAAGGAGAGGAAGTCTTAGACTTCGCCATAGCTTTTGATCTGATGATAGCTAATACTTTCTTCTGTAAGAGAGTCCCATTTAGTGACCTTTAGTAGCGGCCAGTACTCTAGTCAAATCGACTTTGCCCTTACAAGAAGGATCGATAAACGAACATGCGTGGACTGTAAGGTGATACTTGGAGAATGTGTGGTCGCTCAATACAAGCCCTACTTGGAGAATGTGTGGTCGCTCAACACAAGCTGGTGGTGGCTGACTTCCGCTTTCTGGTGTAAGCTCGTGGGAACAAACAAGCTAGGGTTGTTAGAACAAAGTGGTCGAAATTAGAAGGGGAGGCATCAAAGGTCTTTAAGAAAAAGGTCATTGAAGAGGGCCCTTGGAATGATGAAGGCGATGCAAACAGCATGTGGGAGAAGATGGCAACATGCGTTCGGAAGGTTGCTTCAGAGGTGCTTGGAGTGACCAAAGGGAGCGGATGCGACTCGAAAGACACTTGGTGGTGGAATGAAGATGTGCAAAAGGCTATTAAGGAAAAGGAGTGCTATAAGCGCTTGTATCATGACAGGTGTGCAAACAACATAGAGAAGTATAAGATGGCAAAGAAGACTGTAAAACGAGCGGTGAGTGAGGCAAAGGGGCAGGCCTATGAGGATCTTTATCGACGTTTGAGTACGAAGGAAGGAGAGGACATTTATAGGATGGCTAGGGCTCGCGATAGGAAGACAAGAGACTTCAACCAAGTCAAGTGCGTAAAGGATGAGAGGGAGCAGCTCTTGGTGAAGGAGGATGAGATCAGACATAAATGGCAAGAGTATTTTGATAAATTGTTCAATGGTGAGAACGAGAACACCACCGTTCAGCTGGATGACTCGTTTGATGACACTAACAGGTGCTTTGTGCGGAGGATTCAAGAATCGGAGGTCGGATAAGCCTTGAAAAGGATGAAAGAGGGCAAAGCGATGGGCCCTGATGGTATCCCAATCAAGGTGTGGAGATGTCTTGGGGATATAGCTATAGTATGGCTAATCAAGATGTTCAACAATATCTTTCGATCGAACAAAATGCCTGAGGAGTGGAGAAGAAGCATATTGGTACCAATCTACAAGAACAAGGGAGATATCCAAAGTTGTACTAATTATCGGGGAATTAAGTTGATGAGCTACACTATTAAGTTATGGGAGAGAGTCATCGAGCAGCGCCTACGAGGAACGACGCAGATATCAACAAACCAATTTGGTTTCATGCCCGGAAGGTCAACTACAGAAGCAATCTTTTTAATAAGACAGGTTATGGAGCGGTTTAGAGAGCAGAAGAAGGACCTCCACTTGGTTTTCATTGACTTGGAGAAGGCTTATGACAAGATACCAAGAAATGTTATGTGGTGGTCTTTGGACAAGAAATGTTATGTGGTGGTCTTTGGACAAACATAAAGTCCTATTAAAGCACGTGACCCTCATCAAGGACATGCACAACAATGTTGTGACTAGTGTTCGAACAAACGATGGTAACACATTACTTCCCGATTAAAATTGGACTTCATCAAGGGTCAGCCTTAAGCCCGTATCTCTTTGCCTTGGTAATGGATGAGGTTACCAGGAACATACAAGGGGATATCCTCGGTATATGTTGTTCGCTGATGATGTAGTGTTAGTGGATGAAAGTCAGGCGGGAGTAAATAGGAAACTAGAGTTATGGCGGCAGATCCTTGAGTCTAAAGGTTTTAGATTGAGCAGAACTAAAACCGAATACATGAGGTGACTTTGGCGGAGTTGTATAGGAGGGAGATATGAGTTTGGAAGGTCAAGTAGTGCCTAAGAAGGATACCTTTCGGTATCTGGGATCGATGCTACAGAGTGATGGAATTGATGCGGACGTTAGCCATAAAATCAAAGCAGGGTGGATCAAGTGGCGGCAAGCTTCTGGCATTCTCTGTGACAAGAGGGTACCACAAAAGCTAAAAGGCAAGTTCTATAGAACGGCGATTAAACCGGCTATGTTGTATGGAGCAGAATGTTGGCCTACAAAGATTCGACATGTTCAACAACTGAGTGTTGCAGAAATGCGTATGTTGCGACGGATTTGCGGTCACATAAGAATGGACCGAGTTCGGAACAATAATATACGTGATCGCTTAGAGGTAGCATCAATTGAAGAAAAGCTTGTCCAACATCGGTTGAGGTGGTTTGGCCATGTCCAAAGGAGACCTCCAGAGGCATCAGTGCATTGCGGAGTCCTAAGCCAAGCTAATAATATGAGGAGAGGTAGAGGAAGGCCGAAATTGACATGGGGGGAGACAATAAAAAGATATTTGAAAGCTTGGGATATACCTAGAAATCTATGTTTGAATAGAAGTACTTGAAAAACAGCTATTGAAGTGCCTGAACCGTGACTTAGGGCTCTTGGTGGGTTTCAACTCTAGCCTACCCTAACTTGCTTGGGACTGAAAGGCTATGTTGTTGTTGTTGTTGTTGAATGATATTAATTTATCTTCTACTCCCTCCATTTCAAATTATAGAAGTTTTGGCTTTTCTACATACATAGTTATTGCTCTGCACTTAGATATACATTATGTCTAAGATACATAGGAAAATCAATGTATCTAGAAAAGCCAAAACATTTTATAATTTGGAAGGGAGGCAGTAGTATTTATCATCTATACAAAGTAGAACCGATGTCCTTTGATTTTATATGTACTTGGGTGCAGGAGTAGAAGAGTCATAGAGTGATTAAATTAGAGTTGGTTTTCTTTTGTTCCTGAACTTAATCTGCTTCTCTCTTATTGAGAGGGATTAGAAAGCGACTGCATTTATTTATGGGAGTTGGAACATCATTCAAAAAAGTATACTAGGAAGAAATGAGATGAACATAATTCTAAAATGATTTGTATTCTTATATTTATATAAGAGTTAAATGCACCAGCGGCCCTTAAACTTGTAAGGGTGTGTCACTTCGGTGCACGAACTTTAAAAATGCATTTCTGGGTTCCTTAACTTGTTGAGTGGTGCACCGTAGTTCCATGCCAGCCACATGTACGTTCCATACTAAAGTGGTGGTGGTCGGAGAAACCTAGTAGGAAACAGATTGATTTTCACATGGTGAAATCAGTTCAACCTTTGTGCGGGGAGATTAGATTGATCTTGGTGTGGGAGAAACGACCCTGGCTTTATGGGGAAGAATAGATCGTGAAGGGGAACAAAAGAGTTAGTGGGGACGGGACCGGTAAAATAGATCGAGCGAGTTAGCGACCACGAGAGAGCGCTAGATAACGACTGACAAAAGATTAGTCGTCTAGTATCCTTGTACGCTGACAACCACAAATTACACATGGTCATTAGATAATGGTCGTTGATGCTCAATCCTGTAGTAGTGAATGATCCATTTGTGGAATAAGAGGTAAGGGGAGGGGTTAAATGTAAAAAAACATGCCACACTGGCATGCCACATCAACATGAAACGCTTATGCTTAGCAGCCATGTTCCTGTTCCCGTTCCTGTTCCTGGAACAGGAAT